AACTCGAGCTATTTCAATATGGAATAACCAGACAAAATATGGAAATGGCATCAGACCTAAGAAATGCACCATGTTCATCAATGTTGCAGTATATACATTTTCGCAACTGAAATGACTGTATGGAATCGTCTTATTTAAAATTCCCTTCCTTTTTTTTTTTTTTGGACCAGGGATCAAACTTGGGATCATGCGCTTGTGAGGCAGGCAGCAGCACCACTGAGCAAAATCTCAGGCCCAATCCCCTTCCTTTCTTGAAACCATTTGAAGGCTGATTTCTGTAGAAAGAGCGGGTGAAGATCCTGTAATTTGTTCTTTGGGTTGCTAAAGCCAGATCACTGGCAAAATCTTACAAAGATAAGCAAGTTCCCAAATTGCTACCAGCTTCCGTAGACCACAGTGCAGAATTTGAAATGGCTTGTGGTGTGACACACTAGGCCTCTGATATTGAAATGTCGAATTTGAGTTGCCAGATCCACAGATACTCCTCCAAGATGACATAGCACGGGCAAAGGGGCAGATTTTTAAATTCCTTCACTGACTGAAGCAAACTTTACAGGAGTAACTTTAAATTTTTACAGAACCACAAAAGCAAGTAACTATTATGCTTTCATAAGAATATTTATTCTCGCCTAAGAAAAGGTGAAGTCTGGGTGTCTACCTGGCGTAGCTCCTTCTGCTAATGAGCATGGGTTGCTGCCTAGAATTCTTTTCTAAATATGAAAATGCCCAGAATTCTTACAGGCAAGTCTTGTGTACTGTGAAAAGGGTGTTAATATTTTATTTATTTATTTATTTGGGTGTTAATGTTGATGTGGACATAAATCAGGCTGGCTCTCTGAAGACCTCTGGGCATTGTCTCTTTCTATTAGGGAAGCCTCGGAAAGAGACTGTATGAAAAGAGGGGCTTTTTTGACTGAATATTTCATGATTATCATGATTCAGCTCAAAGCACTGACTTAGGGATACAGAGAAGATGCATTGGTCCTGTATGTAAACAATATAAATAGTAGATAAGAACTAAAAATGCCAATTGACCATGTAGTTCTTTGGCTTTAGTGGAATGACACATCCACATCCTACTGGCTGGATATTTAGTCTTTGTCTAGATGTTGGGGTCAGAAGGTTCAGTGTCTATTTGGGGATCACAAAAATCAGTGAATTTTTACAGATGTCAATGGTCCTCCCTCCTGGTACCCTAAGTTTCGCCTACAATTAAGTGATTATGTCAAGGCAACAGAACCCACTAGAGAAGAAAAATTACCCATTTTCCCAAGAGAGGTTTCCTCTTTCCTGGCGCTCATGCATGATCCCCAAGTCCCCTGTGACATATCTCCTTTCTCAGGGACAGCCCTCCCAGAGCAGCTGTCCTCTACTCTGTCCCCAATAATTAGCCCCAGAGGTACAAGGTGCACACAAAGAGAACACAGCCTCTTGGGCTCTAAAGGAGACTGTGCTGCAGACCACTGGCTCTGTGGTGACATTGGAAGCATGGTGCTCATGAGGCAAAGTTCCTCACCAGGGAAGATGGCAAACCTGGAAGCTTGGGCCCAGTGTTGCTTATTCCCTTTCCATCTGGTGCCCACTGATTCCTGAAGGCCAGGCTGAATGAGAAAGAGGAGGGTGGATCTACTGCCCATCCCACGAGTCTATCAGGGTGTTGCTCCAACCAGGAAGGGCTCCCTCTCCATCTCCTGTCCTGGGTGCTCCTGTCTCCCACAGGGTGGGGCTGACTGCCTTGCTGTCCAATCTAGATCTCCCACAGAGATAGTATATTTCCCTCACCTCTGTTCCTACAGTAATGCTTAAATTTCACCAAGTGTGACAACAGGGATCTCAAAATGATCGCCCAAATCTGTTGATCCTCACAGAGGAAAGTGACGCATGGAGCTTCATATGTGCATGGCAAAGGAGAAGACCTCATTAATGTTCCCATGGATCATTCCCAACACCCCTGAAGCTGTGTTTTCTTAAACCCTACTATTTCTAGGAACCATTCCACCAAAGGGTCAAAATACTGTATCTGACTTACAGAATTTAGAAGGAAGTCGAGCGTGGTGTCCCATGCCTGGAACCCCGGAGGCTGAGGTAGGAGGATTGTCAAGATTTCAAGGCAAGCCTGGGCTGCACAGTAAGTTCAAGGCCAGCCTGTACTACAAAGCAAGACCCTGTCTCAAGCAACAAACAACAACAGCAATGACAAATTAGAAGGAAACACTACCAAAGAACAACTACAACAACATCAAAAATCAACCCAGGTCACAGAGGAGGACATTTTTGGGTTGAATTAGAAGCTTTAGGAACTTCAGGATGCATAATAATCAGCTTCAGGTTACTCAAGGAAAGTGTCAGTTTTTCAATTTTGCTAGTTCATTACATAAAGGGCCTCAGTGACAGCAGACAATGCTCTGAAGGTATCTATATTTAAAGATCAGATTCCAAGCTTAGCATTAGTGACATCTTAAGCACAGGGCCACACTCTAGGCACTCATGCTATTGGGTAAAAGTAACAGAGCAGACTCAAAAAATGTTTTTTAAAATGTCAAATACAACAGGGTGTGGTGACACATTCCTGTCATCCCAGCTACTCTGGAGGGAGTGGGGGGAGGGTCACAAATTCAAGGCCAGTCTGGGCAATTTAGTGAGACTGTCTCAAAATAAAAATTTAAAAAATGGCCTGAGGAGTAGCTCAGTGGTAGAGTGCTCATCTAGCATGTGTGGGGCACTGAGTTCAAGGCCCAGCAACAAGACAGAGAGAGAGAGAGAGAGAGAGAGAGAGAGAGAGAGAGAGAGAGAGAGAGAGAGAGAAACAAAAGAAAAAGGAAAGGTCAAATACTTTTGGCAACTATGGATAGAATGTGCTTTAATTAAGTAATGAAAGTTTCTCAGTGTTAACGATTTTTTTTCTTTGCTCATTTAGATACCTATAAGCAAAGAGATCATAAGTATTGGGGAAATTGGTTTTGTTTTATGAAATACTGAAAAAGCCATGAACAGTAAGGAACCTAGAATATTATAATTATTTTTCTAACTAAACATTATCTGAAAATCCTAAGCACTGGTGTTATTTTACATATCTGGATAAAATATTCTTTTTCCTTCTCTCCCTCCCTCCCCTCCTTTTTCTTTCTGATACTTAGAATTAAACCCAAGGCCTCTGCACTCAACTACATTCCCCAGCCCTTATTCTGAGAGGAAGTTTTGCTAAGTTGCCCAGGCTGGCCTTGAATTTGTGATCCTTCTGCCTCAGCCTCCTGAGTAGCTGGGATTATAGGCATGAGCCACCATGTCTAGCTGGATAAAACATTTCTTGATGAACTTTTCCTATTTTAAAAATGGGTAGAAAACAAGGACTTGATTCAGCTTCTCAGGCCTCATCAATACCTCCTGATACTCAGAGACAAATGCTGATCTTTGTGTTCACTTGCAATTAGTGACTTAATTCATCCTTCAGATCAATGTCCTTAAAATTGGCTTCAAGAGGTGTATTTTCCAATTAACGAATAGGGGTTTAATCCCCTGATTCCCATTAGTGTAAGAGCTATGAGTCTAAATCTCCTTGCAGCCGGCCCAAAATTTACCTCCTGCTGCCTCAGAGTGCCAATTAAATAATAAAAACCAAGACTGTGGTCAGATGTAATTAGTTAGAGCACTGAGATTTATAATTTTTCTCACGCCAAGCAAACAAGTTAACCCCTCTGACAGAATAATTTGGACAAAGAGGACACACATCTCACAGGAGAATATTTTCTTGTGCTATTTGTCAGGATGCGCTCTTCTGGGAATGGGCAAATGAGGAAAGAAACTCTAGCTCCGAATAGTTGGAGACATGTTGTATGGGGTTGTTCTATTTATTTATTCTTCTATTAAAACCATTTTTCAAGACTGCAGTTGGTCCAAGTTTCATGGAAAGTGTGATACTTCTTGAAAATACAATTCTGATGGAAACAGACGTCAGCCATGTACCTGGCAAAGCTGCCTAAGAGACAAACAGTGGGGGGGTGCTTCTCAGCCCAACCAGAAAGCACATCGGGCTCAGTGTCCCTGGAGCAGCAATGCCAGGTCTCCTACCTGTGGGAAGAGGCAGCCTCCTGGCCAACCAGAGCCCGGAGTCCTATAGCACTCCTCTGCTGGGCTGATGAGGACTCAACTGAACTGTCCATCCGGAAACAAACGCTTCCTGCATTTTCCCTCTAAACATGTCACTTATGCAAGATGGTGCAGTAGGGAAAAGACAAGGTGGTATTGGAACCTAGGGATATGGTCTGGATAAGGTGAAGTAGTTGTTTTGTTTTTATGGCTATTTCTGCTTCTTTAGTTTGGGGAGAAGGAAAAGGGAAGAAGGGAAGAGGCAAAATGAGGTTAATAAAAACTCTCCCTCGATCCCCGGTACCAAAAACAAAACAAAACAAAACAACCCAACTCTCCCACCTAGGGTCTATTCAAGTCGAGCCACTACTCTAATGGTTCCATCTTGAGTTCAGAATTTGCTCGTTTTACTTAACCAAATGTTGTAAGCACAATTTTATCACATTGGTTCGAGTTGGAAAAGCCAGGCACACAAGTCAGGGAGGAGTAAGTGTGACATGAAAGGATGGTGAGCAGAAGTGTCCCAGGGCTACTGGTTGAACAGGTGTGGTGTGGGGAGTGTTCACCTGTGTGTGTGCACATGCACATATATGTGTACATACTGTATGGTATTGGATATGGGAATGATAAATAGTAAACTATGGTCACAATGAAGACAAGTGTATTTTTTCCCATAAACACTATCAGTCTTGGCAATGTTAATCCGTGGGAGTCACATTGAAAACATCTATGAAACAAGGAGGTTGCTTTTAAAGAGATTATGAGCTGGATCCAGAACATTGATTTGAACGTATTTCAATTCTAAAGTTTTCTCATACAAATATTCACAGAAATGGGTGGACATTCTTTTTTATGTACAACTCGATTTCTCTCATGTACAACATAGATCATTTAATGGAACGCTTGCAACCTTAGAAAGGCAGACATGTTTAATCCAAGTCTGTTTATAAATTCCAATTTCACATGGATTAAAAACTGCAGATAAATTAAGTCACAATAATATCCTGTACATGCGTTAAGGCTGTTGACCGCTGAAGTCTCTTGGGTATCTACAAACAGGAAATCACACGCAGATAACTGGGTCTGAAGAGTGTCTACGTCATTAAAAAAATCTTGCTTCCTTTTTTTGGTGATACAGATTTCAACAGTAACTCTGGAAAACTGTGAAAAATGTTATTTAAAAATATATATGTATATGCTACCGCACAGTTTCAAAGATGTGGTTCATAAATAATGTTGGCTGCACTGATTAATTTTATAACAATGACTGTACTTCCAAGGTGATGCAAACACACAGTGACTTATACTCCATATTAGGCACTAGTAATATCCATCAGGTGTACTACAGTTTTATGTTAGCTGTATTGTACATATATATTTTTAAATGTATGCATTTGTACAAACTGTGTATATCATGTATGGGGTGTCAGAAATGTACACATCACTGTTCTATAATACACACATCATTGTTGTACATATTATGATAAGTTTTTAGTGCATGAAGTCTCATTGCATTACATTCCATGGTTCAATCTAGTACACAATTTGCTGACTCTTCAGATTATTTTTTCCAGTACATTCCTCTTTAGATAGTGGGTCCAAGTTTCCATTTGCAATTTGGAAGTTTCCAGAAGTATCTGTTTTAACCAGACCTCTCTCTCCAGGCACAATTCTGCACATGAGTCTGATCTGTGTAGAGTAGTAACTGATGCCAAAGTCTGATCAGGAATATATTTGAGCTACTCTCTTTCAAAGATAATTCTAGCAAAATGATAAAGACTGGTTTCCATTTAGGTCATGACAGATAAGGTCAGCTGAACTTGTATTAAACTTCTGAGGAAATATGTCTTTAAATACAAAGAAGTGGTAATAAATGCTACGTTTAAATTTAAGAATCTCTGGAAGGACATAGTACATCAGACTATGAGCTGTGGTTGTTTCAGACATTCAGACTTACACTTCCTACTTTCTACACTTTGGCGCTGTTTGAATTTTTACAATGAACAGGTATTACTTTTATAATCCAAAAACACAAGAAAGATGTTTCAACTTGGAACCAAACTAAAAAAAAAAAAAAAAGGAACAAGTTATGAATGACTTCCACAAGCAACAGTTAGAAAATGGTTCCTTACCAATATCATCTATACCCAACAGAAACTGCTGCTCTGACATGCTCTACAGATGAACAGGAGGCACTGATAGGACCTGCATGCTCTTACCATCCCCCCAAAATGACCAGTTTCTAGAGATTTTGTTGGGAAACCTCAGTGGTCAGCATCTTGATGAAACAATGCCAGCACAACTAGCCAGAGGCCATGTGCACAATGAGATGGGGCTTCTGGGGAAGCCCACACACAGTGCTTCATAAGACTTGCAACTTTAAAGGTGGGCAAGACCAGGAAAGGTCCCTGGGGAAGTATGGCAGACCTCAAGGGTCATCCCTTTATGTGACAGTTTGAACTTTTCATCAGAATTTACCATGAATAAGTAGAACATACTTTCCTGAAGAAAAAAAAATGATTCAAAATTTTTAAAGTTAGATTTAAAGTTTCAGCATAGGATGGGATCGTGAACTCTGCCAACAATTAGTGAAATGGATGTAAGAAGCAACTCATATGGATAAATATGAAATGGAAATACAAGCTAAGCATCCCTAATCCAAAATCCAAAGTGCTCCAAAATCTAAAATGTTTTGAACATCAATATGATGCTGTAAGTGGCACATTGTATCCCTGACCACATGTGACTGTCACAGTCAAAACACAGGTGCACTAAAAGTACTGTATAAGACTGATTACCTTAGACCAGTGATGGCTAACCTTTTTAGAGCATTCAATGATAACAAATAGCTGGTGCATGCATGCCATAGGTTCCCACCACTGCCTTAGACTACGTGTATAAAATGTATTTGAAACATAAATGAACTTTATGTTTAGGCATGTATCTCAACCTCAGGATATCTCATTATGTACATGTGATTATTCTAAAATGTAAAATCTAAAATACTTCTGGTCCCAAGTATTTTGGATAAGGGATACTCAAACTTGTACTCTTAATATTTTCAAGTGCCTGAAGCTCAAAGCCAAATGCAAATTTCACTTGCTCATTGTCAATTAATTGCAAATCACCAAAGTTGTTCAATCTTTCGTACAGTTTTGAAACCATGCTTACAGCTTGGGAATTGCAACAGTCTTATTTCCCACCTATGGGTCCAATTGACAAAAATGTTAACATGGCAACCAAATCCATGAGATCACTAAAGATATATTTTAGCATCTATTGAACATATCCTGTGCCACCATCACCTTGAACAAGGGCTCACTCCACAGGCTGCCTCACCTGTCTCTCAAACCGATCCAGTACAATTCTGTCAAGTCAGTCAAAGATGTTATTTTTTGTTTTCAAAATACAGCAAGGCAGTCCCTTTTTTCAGGAGGTGTTTACCAATATTTCATATCCAAATATATTTAATAAGAAGACTAACTCTAGGATATGACAAAACACCATAAAATAAAGTTCAGACAAACATTGTAAACAAGATGTCAAAAACTAAAATGTAAACTTAAAAAAAGAAAGGAAAGAAAAAAACCCATGGTAAGACGTAAACATAACAGATGCGCAAGATATAAGCGAGATGCTCTGGTCCTTGCTACTGCAAACAGAACAGCAATCCTTGCAGAAATAACTGTAAGCAGCTTGCTAATCAAAGCCTGAAAAATATCCCCCAAATCATAATGCCCCAAAGGCCTGCAGAGGCACATCCTGTGTGAAGTGTGATAATCAGACAGCATTGTGATTGTAAATAGCTCTCAGACTGAGAAGCAACAGCTAGGCTCCTACTGAAGAACATTCTAGGTAATGTCCTCATTTGGCCAAGAAAGTTTGTACAAAAGCTACTGTGGAAAGAAGAGACTTGAAACATATTGGCTGACAAAAGCCATGTGTATCACAGTGGCAGGAGAAGGAAACTCATGGCCCTGGGGAACCTGTCACAGGTACAGACTTCAGTTCCTAATCGAGTCATTGACGCTTTCATGTGTGTTAAATTTCAAGGACACAGAGTTTTCACCAAATCCAGGTGCCATTTTCAAACAATTTGGGGGCGGGGCAAGAAGGGCTTGTGGGAATCAAACTATGTGCTTGGAATGTGTTTAATTGATAATAATGTTGGATGGAGGAGAGAGGATAAGAGGAAGGGCAGGGTATTTGGTGACATGCAATCTAATAAACTTCTGGCACAAAAATAACTGACTTGTTTTCATGATCAATTATCCATTAATACACACCAGTCAAAAATAATTAGGGAATAGTATAGTAATACTGAAAGTAATTAATAATATAAGAGCTAGGTTCATCTTAACTGGCAGTTAAGCTTTTGGTGTGCTGTATTGCACCTGGCTAACTAACCTAAGAGATTTTGGTTGAATTTTTCTAAGAAGTCATGGTGCAGCACTGGGATAGAAAGAATGTGTCTGTGAATTTGTGTGCATATGTGCGCATGTATGTATTTCCTCTAATCAGGAGCCTGTGGTCACTCTGTCTAGCCTGGGTTATGGAAACTAGACAAATAAAATGTGTGCTGAAGAGCTGCGTGTCTTACACACATACACAGGCAGCTTGGTATACACCCACACACGCGAACACACATGTCCTGGGAAAAGGTCATTGTCTGATGCCGAGGAAAGGTTCACCGCGGTCTGATAAATGCTGTGGCTGGGAATTTCAGTAGCACAGTGTCCAGAAACTTGGAGCGGTCCGTGGAGATCAGAGCACGAGCTGGCTCAGGGTGAGGTTCCTATGACAGGTGAGTGCTGTTCCGCAGCCAGTGCAGACCCTGCTGGGAGTACTGGACTAGGTGCTCCATGCTGCTGTGCAGGGTGACGGGCCCCATGAGCAAATCCAAGTCGTTGAAGAATTCTAGGGGACAGAGAGAGTCGTCAAGAGTGCCATGTATTGTCTTTAATCTGTTGAGAAGGTTCTGTTCTACTTCTAGGCTCCTGATAGCTTTTGCCATGAACAGCTGTGGAATTTAGTCCAGTGCTTTTTCTCCGACTAGTGACAGGATCAAGGCTTTTTCCTTTCCTCTGTTAAAATTATGACTTTTGGGGGTGGATCTTCCAGTGCTGGACCAACACTGCCATCCCTATAACAAAACCACTTTCTACATCCTGCCAAATCTAACTTCCAATAGTTTGTTTTGTTAAACAAATTTCTATCTATGTTCATACATTTTTCTTCTATTATCTTTATCCAGGTTTAGGATTAGCACAATGTTGAGTTCCTAAAATGAGGGGAGAAGTGTTCCTTCTTTTTTCTGCTTTAATTGTTTGATATAATTT